GTGTGTGTGTGTGTGTGTGTGTGTGTGTGTGTGTGTGTGTGTGTGTGTGTGTGTGTGTGTGTGTGTGTGGGTGGGTGGGTGGGTGGGTGGGTGGGTGTGTTCAACTTGTCTTACCTTTGCTCCTCCCCCCTCCTTTAGACATCACAGAACTGAAGCAAAAACTCCACATGTTGAACCTGCTCATCCTGCTGCTGCCTGAGCCCAACAGGAACACACTGAAGGTAAACGCATGCACGCAGACACACACACACACACACACAAAGAAACACTTTTAGATGGATTAAGCACATTTGCAATAGTCTGAATATGTTTACAGAGCTTGCACTTGATCTGTAGGTGAAACATATATGAAAATGATCAACAAAATGTTTTCTTGACCTGAAAAAACACGACAAGAATCTGACAGAATTTATAAATGATCCTCAAAACAGTTAAATTCGATTTTTGAACAACAATCGCTGCTTCGAAACAATTTTTTTGATTCACCAAAGTTCAGAAATGAAAGACTTCATAAAAATGCCTGACACTGTTTCACGATGTCACATTGAGCTGCTTTTAATCCACACTTAAAACACTCTGCTGTGTTATATAATGACTTACATTACCCATGATGACTCACTCTCACTGACACAAGTGTGCAGTCAGCTCCGCTTCCAGCATCCAGAGGCTTGAAACCCACCTGATGTAATTGCTCTGACTCCAGTGGAGGCAGCTGAAACCTCCTGTGCATCAACACACTTCAGGTGTTTCAGTCATCCTGATTATTCACTGTACTCCAGTCTGAGCTTCAGTTGCTCTGTTCAAAGACATTTACACATCATTCAGCCGAATCTTTCAACTCTGTACAAACAAGTGGTGTTGGCTCAAAACTCTTCTCTGACTTTATTTAAAAACAAATTCTAAAACAGCATCATGTATCCGTGTCTCCGCCAGGCCCTTCTAGAGTTCCTCAGTAAGGTGGTTTCCAGGGAGAAGAGGAACAGGATGAACCTGTGGGCCGTGGCGACCATCATGGCTCCCAACCTCTTCCTCCATAAGGCCGTCCCCAGCAGACTGACGGAGGGGGCAGAGAAGGGACATGCGGAGAAAGCAGCAGATGTCATGAGGCTCCTCATCCGCTACCAGGACCTGCTCTGGACGGTGGGTGCTTGAAAGTGGATCATTATTTAGAAGCCATGTATCTGTCATCATGTATTTGACATTTCATATTCGGGGAAGAAATATTAGCTAAAGCTTTCATTTAACTTGTTCATCGCTCTGCTGGCAAGTAAGTGGACCTTAAGAAAAGTTATAAGAGTTTTGTCTGTACTCTTTAACTGTGATCAGATTCTGTGGGAATTTCTTAGTGAAAAAAATAAAAGCATCACTCTAACACTGCTCCATTTTTTAATTTTCTTCAGATCCCGAACTTCCTCATGGGCCAGGTGCGTAAACTGAACGAGAACAGCAACCGACGTTACCAGTTTTACGACCGCCGCATCAAGAACCTGCTGAGGAAGATCCACACCGACAGCCGGGAAAAACCTGATAAAAACACCTCAGAGGTGAGCTGGTTCAACAACACTCAGCTTACTGTACTGAATCTCTTCCTTCTGTCTTGGACCATTTCCATTTTTATAACAAATCACCAAAACCTCTCTCGTGCGAAGTCTGAAACTGCCTCTGTTTGAGGCATCTGATGTCAGTTGGTAGTGATGATGATGCTGCTGCCATATCAGTGAACTCTGCCACGGTTCTTCAAGACAAAATGACGCTAAAGAACTATTTTATTTTTTCATAACATCCTGTTTAGCTGCTCCAGCAGAATTGATGATGGACTTTTACTTGAAAAAATTATCTTTTCTCTTTATGACATTTCTCATCTACTCCTCTTGACAGTCACCATATTGCTTGTTTGCAATCACATGGAACAGCTTCGGGCTTTTGTCTGTGGAACAAATTATTTTGTTGATCTGTGAAAAGCAAATACTGGGCTGTAATATTCTCACAGTGTTTAAAACTTGCTTAAATCTTGAGAGACCTTGTTATCGTCCACAAATCACACACAGATGATAGAATCTGCGCAATCAGTAACTTCTGCTGAAGGTGATTTAACTGAGATGTCTGACGGGAGACGTCGCAGTTTTACTGCCGTTCCTTCATATTTAGATTTATTATGGTGCTGAATATTCTCTCCCTCTTTTTGTTTCTGAAGCAGAGTCGTACGGTGAAGATCCAGGTCGGGGATCTGATGAGCAGCACTATGGAGTTCCAGCTCAACATCAACTCACGAACCTCAGACCTGCTCGCACAGTTCCACCGCCAGTCCCTCCGCAGCCCGGAAAATGGGAAAGGCAAAATGCGAAGGTACAATACAAAGCAGCGTTTAAAGGACGACCTCAGCTTTCTATTCATATTAATGCTGAGTGCACTCTTCCTATTTATTCAGGAATTGAATTCAATGCATTATACTTCTACAAGTTATCATTTACAAAGTAAAGGAAACAGAGTCTGGCTACACCAACGTTCTGTTTGAACTCTCCAGCCGAAGTCATGTCAACTAGAAACGTTAACAGTGTTATGTGTATGACATCACCTCTACAGAGAAACAGAGCCTGATACGTGTGCGTTATGTCTCTCAACAGAAACGGCTCGGTGGCGTATCCCGACTGCGCCGTGTACGAAGTGGGCGGGAACATCGGTGAGTGAATGTGGCTGTGCTGGTTTCTTGTGATCAGAGCAGCGCTGACATTTGCATGTCTTTCTGCTCATTGAGCTGATGAGGGTTGCGAGGTCTCATGTAATGAACTGTGCAATCGGCAAAGAGACGCGAGCAGAGTGCATCTGCAGTTATCAGAGCAGACGAAAGCTTATTACACACGTCTGTGCTCTCACAGGAGACGACACGGTCAACAGCAGCACACGTTCAGTCATCACTCTGTGATGGAAATATTTTAAACCTGGACCTTGATCACTGGTTTATGCAGATTATATTGATGTAACAGGTCAATTGATACCACAGCCGAAACTTTTATTTTATTTGTATGGCACCTAATCACAACATAACAATAGGAACAAGTAGTTAAATGCTTTAGTTGTGCATTGGTTAATCATTTAATTATTTTTTGCTTTTTGCTCAGGTTTATGTAACTGTATACTTGTGCTTTGGACTCTGAGTAAAAACACATCTGAAAACATGAATTCCTTTTTATAGCACAGTTAAATATTTTAAAGAAACATTTAAAACAGTTTGTTGCAGCTCTAACTGAAAGAAAACAAACCCTAAACGTTTTAACCAGCTCAGCAGTGAACAATTCCAACTCCTCCAGCTTTGAGGTAACACATTTTCCACGTGTGTTTTCTGCAGGTGAGCACTGTCTGGACCCCGACACACACCTTCAGGATCTGTACAACAATAACCCAGGAGGGGAGTGGGTCATCAAGCTGAGACCCAACGCCAGCAGAGGGCTGTGACACGGAGGCCGTGGACAGACTGAAGGATTCTGGGAACAGGTCTCTGAGATGACAATAGCGAAGCGTGAGAAAAGATCAAATCCACGCCGCCTCCTGTTCAACCTCTGAGCAACACGGGAGAGAGAGAGAGGGGGGAGACAGATGGAAGGAGAAGAAACAGAAAAAGGGAGAATCTGCCGGGAGCAGAGCCTAAAAGCCGTCTATGATCAGATGGACACACACACTGCGCATTTTCTTCTTTCCCTCCATCTTCTCCTCCCTCCTCTCCATCATTTCTCTCTGGGGCCGCGGTGCCGAGAGCGAAAGAGCTGCTGATGTGACTCATTACTTCCGACAGAGAACCTGCTGCATAGAAATTCGAGAGCGGCCGGGCAGTTTGGTTCACCATCTTTCCTCTCGAACCGTCGTGTTCAACCATTAGAGAGCAGATGGGACTGCAGAGCACCTCTGGCTACAGAGAGCTGAGCCCCCCCCCCCCCTTCTCTCAGGCCAGTCAGACTGTTTTTCATTCATGAGCCTTTTTCACAAAAAAAAACTGAAACATGATTCCTGGTTTTTCTGTCCATTTTTTTTGATAAATCTAATTTCCGCACATTTTGTTGTTTTATATAAGAGAAACCACGTCGATTCAAAGAGCGACGTCTGTGTTGACTTTAAAGCAGCAGCTGACAACAAGATCGAAACACACACCCAGACAGAGACACAGCTGAGATCTGCGTCTGAATCATTTTCCAGATTTATTCATACGTTTAGAGAAAAGGCCCTCAGCAGAAGATGCGACACACAAGTCTATCATGGTCTCAGCTGTTACTTGAGCATTTTCTCCTGCACATGTACTTATTATACAAAGCTGATTAGAAACCAGCTCACACACACACATGACGTTCTCCAGGACAAAATCGACCAAACCAGGTTCTTCTATTCCCCTTCACCAGTGGTTCTCAAACTTGGATAGTAGAAAGAATACAAATTGAGCTGTAGTGAGATAAAAGTCAACATGACATCATCATACTTTTCAGACAGAAATGATATAAATGCAACTTGGTGTCTCGCTCCAATTTTTCCCTGGCCATCCACACCCCCTCAGTGTGAGAACCACCTGTGCTAATTACAAAAATCAGTTTACCTGTTTATAAGTTACAGGAATCAGATTATCTGACTGAAAACACACTGACGATGAACAGATTCTTATTGAGCTCAGAAAATGGACAGAAAACCCTTTTTTATGTGTTTTCTATTGAAGTAACACTAATAATAATGTAATAATAAAAATGGCCACCAGATGAGATTCATTGAAAACTGAAAGCTCGAGGAACAGAAGCCAACCTGGAAAATGATGCCAGGACTTCAGCTCTTTGTGAACACACAGTTACAGACCGATCAATCGACTAATAAACTGCTTGATCTTTATTACTCGCTCCCACTCTCTCTCTCTCCCACCATCACTTTGACCACAAACGAAACAAAGAGCGAGGATTCTCTGCGTCGGCTCCTTTCTTCCGTCTGTGGAGGGAGAGAGACCCCCGGTAAACTGATAACCCCCCCCCCCCCTTTATCTGTGAAACCCCTACGATCTCCTGGGCCTTATAAAAATCCACAGACTTCCAAGGACCCTTGACCTGCGCAGATCAGAGCTCAAAGAGACGGTCTTTCTTTTTTATTTTGATACCAGGGGGATTCGGTGTCACAACCTCAAGGACAGCGATTGCACGTCTAAAAAAAGAAAGGGAGTTGTTAAGGACTCGCAGTGAAGCTGGTCTTCAATTCTCATCTTTAAACTCATGAATGGGGCCGAAAGTGCTGAAGTGACTCCTGGGGTGAACTGGGATTATTGTTATTGTTATTTATATGAATGTAAAACCGTTGTTGCTTCTGTATCTGATGAGTATTCTAGACTAGACAGATTTTAGGATAACGCTGCACTCAGTGTTGTGTTAAGTCGCCCATACTCAGTGTGGGAATTTGCAGTGTTGTTGTACATATTTTTTCGATGGACCTCTTTATATCTGTTTCTCCTGAACAGAACAGTGTGATGAATTTCTTTGTGTAAATATTTCTCGGTCCTGCTGAAACCTCTGCAGCCGGATGGATTGACGTGATGGCGTTGCTTCTCGAAGCCACTAAGTTATTCCACATACACACACAAAGCAGCAAATGAATGTGTCGAACATTTTGTCCCCGACGTCACACACGAATCGCTCGCTCCTCGCAAACGGGAGCCATGTTGGTGCTGCGCGGCCATTTTGTGGAAGCGTCTCGCACACTGCACTCGATAGACAGAGTAATGACAGCCGGCCCCTGCACCGACATCCATCAACACCCCTCCGCTCCATCTCTGTCACCTCCCTAATAATGGACCATAATGGCAGCGCGGCGCCTGCTTCAGAAAAGCGCAGAGGAATCACATTTCTTTGATAAAGGAGGAGGTTAATAAATGGCTGTTATAAATTCTGATGGCCTGGACCTGGCGACGGCAGCAGGAGCGCGCGCGTATGTGTTGTGTGTGTTTATGTGCATACATGTGCGTGATGAGCTTCATTACACAAGTCCAATTGGCCCATCCCAGGGTCCCGGGCACAGTTCAGTGCCTCGGCACAAAGCGAGCTGATGAAACTGCCTTCTGCTGACAATCAGGAGAACTAGGTCACCTCTGAAGCAGCTTCCCAGAGGGCGAGCAGAGTGTGAGTCTGCACACCCCCGAGCAGCCCAGCACATGGACGCATACTGTCTAAACACACATGACACACACACGTGGACAAACCAAAAAAAAAAGGGGCAAAAGTTCACACACTAAACACCAGTTTCCTGTTGACTCTGTTTGTGTTTGTAAATATGTGAATGTTTGTGTGAGAGAGAAGAAGTTCAGCTGTAGATCTCTGAAACTGTTTAAGATCACTCAACACTAAATGATGGACCGTGATGTGGACACTTCAAAAAGTATCATCCTCACCAGCGTCCAGCTTTTACTGTGGTGAAGATCTTGGTCTTCAGACATCAGAATGTATATTTATGTCCTTTACACCAGTCGTTGTTTTTAATACACATGTGAAAACACTTTAGACTTTGCTGTAGAAAGAAAACAACTTTTAAAAAATGTTCCTTTTCTATGTCAATAAATGTGAATCTGATGTTGTGCTAAACGTGATTTATTTTCTCAATATGGAGGGATAATGGGCGTGGTGGAGAGATGGTATCTACACAAGCATCATTCATCAAATCACATCCATGCCTCTGCAGAGAGAAGCTAACACACACACACGCTCAGTGAAAACTGGGAAAAATCTGAAGTGAAGTATTGGTTCATTCTGCAGAATTGATCAATAAAGAGATTAACCTTGTAATGTGTGTGGGTGGAGAGGCCACTGCTGCTCAGTTCCCTGATTAATCATCAGCATCGCTCCTCCAAAAAAAACCATTCGCAACTAACTGCCTCATCAGCTCTGATTATTCAAGGTTTCAGGGTCCACACGGGCGCCTGGAGACAAAGGGAGAAAACCGATGCATCACGTTTCACTCAGTCTTTTTATTTCACAGAATGAGAGTTTGGAGATATGTTTTTTATATTTTTTTCACCACGAGGGGAATTATTTTGTGTTAAATCCTAAAGGAAATATTCGTTTTTTCCAAAAGTAAAATACTTAATTATTGCATTTGTTTGTCAGTCAGCAGCATTACACGTTAATACTGGACAGATTATCATGGAACTTGGTGGAGGGCTGTGTTATGGGTCTTTTATGACTTTTTCACAGATTTTCCAGGAAATCATTAAAATTTTGATTAAACAAATCAGGCAGATAAAAGGGACTAATATCTGTGAGTGTGTGAAATTAAGTTCAGCTTGACTGAAGGAGGTATGAGCTCTACTGCTATTCTTGTTTGGCAGATGTAATCATTTGAATTTCATCATCGTTTCGTAAATGAAAATGAAAAACTTTGAAAGAACCTCCTTCAAATATCATTTTCTCTGTCCATAAAAGCAGATATTTGTTTTTCTGTTCTCATTTTCACCCTCATCATAAGACTTTCAGAGCATGAACCACACTTTTCCTCTGTCCGGTTTTTCTGTTTGGTTCTTTTTACAGCTTCATTCTCTCAATTCTGAAAATCTCCAAGCAACGTGCAGCAGCAGCAGCCTGCTGCAGGCCCCTCCAGCCTGCTGCAGGTCTAAATTACTGTAATCAGAGGATGAATAGCAATCAGCAGCCTTGTATGAGCTCCTGGCAGAACGCCTGACCTCTGGCTCCCTCCACCAATCACACTGCATCCCATTCACAACTAATCATGACGTGCACTTAAGAGCTCCACCACTTCCCTCACATTTGATGGAGGAAGCACTCCTCTCCTCCTTTTGTCTTTTTTGGGGTTGACGGTGTGGGATGAAGCTACATGGCTCCACTGAGAAAAGATTTAGACGTTCATTTCTGATGCTGCTGCTGACGACGATGTGTTCAGATTGTACATAGCATTATCCAAGAAAATAATTCCTATCATTATATTTCTGGGTGTATTATAATTCTTTCTGCACAATATTTCTTTTTTAATTAAATCTCAAATTGACTTCCAGTTCATTTTCTGTGCCTCACAGACAGGACGCCCTCTATCTTTAAAACTCACATGAAGAAAACCTCAGGAGGACCCGCCCCCCTCCACTTAATGTTGGATGTTTGAGCTTCACTGTGCAGAATAATTAATCTGCAGAGTCTGACACTACAAAACTGTTCTCACACATTTACCCACTGAGGAGGAAAGTTTCTCTGAGTTCACCTTGAATCTATAAAATTAAAGTTTATCGGAACTTTTCAACGTCACAAGTGGTTTAAAGCAACAACGTTACAACCAAATATAGCACAAACAAATTCCACTGATGGTTTTTTTGTTCAGTTAATGAGGAAATATCTTGTGTCCAGTAGTTAAATGCTTAAAAATAAAGATTCTGCACATCCACAGATTCAGGTTGTTTTTATTTTTTGATTTTACTGTTTGAGATTTAAGGAACAATTTATTTGTGTCTCAGAACTCATCTTCAAGTGGTTGAATGACGTGTGCAGGTTGGAGGCCTCAGCAGAAAACCGCCTCTGACCAACTTTTATGAAGAACAGATGAGACGACGTGAAAGAAAAAGACGTGAAGGAAGGAGAGAATGAAAAGCTTATCTGCAATTAAGAAGAAGCCTCTGTCATATATGACACCCCCCTTACCTTCTATCTCCCTCTTCTTACCCTCCGCCTCCCCCCCACTCTTTCCCACCCTCTGCTCGCCGCCAGGAGTGGATCACAGCGTTTATCTCCACCATCCAGCCCCCGGTGTCTCCTAGCAACGGAGCACGGATCATTTAACTGCCCCAGCATCCTCTGTTTTATTCTTCCAGTTGTTACACACAGTCTGCCAACTGCCTTTATTCACATGCTCACCACTCAGGCCCAGAAATCTACACACAGCCTGGTTGTTAGAGGCTATTTTTGTCGTTAGTACTTGTATCTGTGGCTTGGAGGCACTCAAACCATATCAGTGCCACACTTGAGTCAGACAGACAGGCAGGAGAGGCTGCTCTGTCACGACGTGTCACTCCAGGATCCAGCAGGTGCACAAGACACACACTGACACGAGCACAAACACACACATCAACACACACACACACAATCAATGGGAGAAGACAGGACTTGGCCCTCAGTCTGAAAGCCCCTCGCAGAATCAATTAGCATTTAAATTAATGAAGCGCGTAATGAAGAGAGCGCTATCTCCCCTGCAGAAGGCCGACAGACAGGCACAGAGCTGATTGTGAATCTGCATCAGGAAGACACTGAAAGGATCAAACATATTCAAACAGCCACTTCGTCAACCCCCCCCCCCATTCTTTTCTTCTTTTTTTGAAGGAAAAGCACCAAATTAAAAGCAGAGGGGCTTTAAATAAAGCTACAGTTTGTCTGTGGCGTTAATATAATCACATTTCCATATAAAAAGTGACATTAATATAACACATAATTAAAGATAAAATGATTGCAGGGAAAAGCCTGTCTTTATCTTTCAATATCCATCAGTGCAAATATGCTTAAAGGAGGTTGCTTCCGCTGCAGATAACCCTGAATCATTCACTCACACAGATTTGAGACCATCGCAGCTATTCACAGTAAACATCTTTATTCAAATAGACTATATATAAAAACAATACATTTATATATTTATTAATTTTATTTAAAAAGCTGCAAATGTATTATTGTGATCAGGGTTAAACGGGTAACAAGAAGAAACAGAAAACTGTAAAAGCTTGTGAAAGAAGAGGAGAGGCTGAACACTTCAATTAATAACAGTAGGACATTTAATTAGATCTAAAAATAAATATGTTTTATATCTTTCCTTTTCCTTCCTTTGAGGAGGAAGAGTAAAATGTGTTCAGGCAGGTGATTATTTTTTGTACAATCTTCAGGAGGGTTAGCTGTCCACACAATTCTGTCAATCACAATAGTCTGCGTTCACCACTTAATACACAAACCTCACACCTCATTACCATCATTTATACACAAGTGGAAAATTAGTAGAAAGGGTTAAGGTTCAAGTAAGTGTTCTATTTTATCAGCAGCAAAAGTTGATCAACTGATTGAAATGCACAGTCTTAAATATTATCACACAGTCAAATATTTAATTGTACAATTTATTATTACTGTTATTACTACTTAGTAGTAGTATTTATCGTTGTATTAATTTTTTTTGCAACCTGATAATCTTTTACTGCCTGACAGCTGATGATGTATGTCACACTCACACACACATACACACACACACACACACACACACACACACACACACACACACACACACAACAGACAGTGACACAGCCAATGGACAGCTTGTCTTACACATCTGCAAATCTGACTGTATGTGTTTGCATAGACCAATTCTTTCATTGTGTGTGTGTGTGTGTGTGTGTGTGTGTGTGTGTGTGTCTGCATGCCTGTGCTCACACGCTGACAGCAGCTACTGAGTGGCACACAAACCTTATCACCTCGACACAGTGACAACAGAGAGCTTTTAGCCGAGAGCCTCATGTTAGACTGCTGCTTCCTTCATTTCAAACACCCCACTGAGGGAAGGAGGAGGAGGAGGAGGAGGAGGAGGAGGAGGAGGGCTGTGCTTCTCCTCCTCAACATCACTTATGAATCAAGACCCCCCCCTTTCCCATGAATCACTGCCATTCAGACCCCCACCATGTTACACACAAACACAAATCAAACGCACCCTGCTTACTCCAAATACTGTCCAACATTGAATTAACTTATATTTGTTTTCAGGGGGAGAAGAGAAGAGAGGAAAACGGAGACAGAAGGAGAGAAAAGAAGAAAAGAGAAAAGGGAAAAGGTGAGGAAATGGAATGAAACAAGATTAGAAAGAGAGAAAGAAGGGGGGGGGGGGGTGGATATATAGAGAGAAGATTGGTTAGGAAAGGAGTGATAGGAAAGGACAAAACAGTTCCTGAAAGGAGAGAGAAGAGAGACAGAAGGAAAAAAGAGAAAAAGAAAGACATTTGAGGAAGATGTCAGATGTCTTAACTGCTCCTTTGCACCACAGTCGTGCTCGTGCACACGCAAACCCATCATCCAATGAAGAGCCACAAACTCAGGCTACACACACACACGTCATCACTGCATCGTGGTGCCTGGTGGCTGCTGCACTTTCCAGCAGTGTACTGTGGAGAAACACCCACGATGCACCACTCCCTCCAGGGGGCTTTTCCTGACCACAACACGAGAAGAGAGAGAGGGAGAGA